GAACATTTAGATAAATATTAAATTGTTTTATTATCAAATAAAAAAATGTTTATTTTTGTCTTCGAAATAAGAAATTTTTGTTTTGTTTGTAATAACGAAGATTTTTAGATAGAGTGTGGAGTCGAGATGTTAATTTTCTCTTTATCCACGTCCTAAGTTTTAAAAATAGATCAATATTTTAAGTAAGATAATTCACATTGAATTTATTCAGCAGCTAAGCTTCGTTCTTTTTTTTTGCAAAAAATTGAATAGCTGATTAAAGAAAATCTTATTCAATACACGAAGAATTTTTTCTTAAAATTAAAAAATAAAGATAAATTATTTACTTTATTTAATCACTTTACAATTTTGTTTTATGTTGTTTAAATTGAACGAAATTACATTGATTGTATTTGAATGATAAAGTAATAACATTATAATTGTTTTCAATGGTTGTGATTATACTGAAAAATAAAAAACGCAAAAAAATTCTTTTAAAATTTTGTTACTTTTTTTTTCGTCAAGAAATATTTAGGTCAATGAAAACTCATGATTCTCATTCGTTTCAATGAATAGCAAAATGAATAGTCTAAGGTAGTTACCTGTGAGATTGGTTTTTCAAGTAAAATGTTGTAAATGATCGAACACAAGAGAATTCTAAATATACAATATAAAATATTCAATTAATGAAAATTGTTTCATTTTTATGAGATGAAAGAATAAAATAAATTAATATTTTTTCAGAGAAAAACATTCTTTTTTGGCTTTTCAGTTTAGATTAGAACTTGATGTTGAATATCAAATTTCAATTTTAAAAAGAGTTTAAATATGATTTCGAAGTCTTCAAATCGATATATATTTTTTTATCTATGTTAATTATGAAATGATCAAAGGAAAGGAGAATAATGCATCATCATCATCATCATGAATAAAAAGCAATTCAATGTGTATGTCTGTGGATTTTTTCCCACAAGCATGCCTATGGGTTTTTTCCCCTCATTTAATATGAACCAAGAGAAAAGATCAGTGTATTTGGTTTAGTCAAATAAAAGAGCAGTTTGGGTGTATACATAGTTTTTTTCTCATGTTGTGACGTAAAGAAAAACATAATCGACGCAGTGGTCGGTTCGTGATATAAATACTAGAAGATAATATTGAATATCAACAGTAATCGATAGTGTATATTACATAGCGAATTAAAACGGTATGTAATCCAAGATTAATTGAGAACTCTTTAACTTTATTCATTTTTTTTAGAAACGATGCCAACGCAGCCTGTACTATCTTAACACATGAATTACATAGAGCATACCACAAGCAGTGACACCTTTATCTTATTTCTTTGTAGAAAGCGTGAAGACATTTTCTTTTTCACTACGTAAAGAAAGAAAATTTATTCACGCTTTCTATGGAGAAATAAGGCAAGGACACCACTACCTTTGGTATGCCCTAAGTAATTCTTTCCATTTTCTCGATTATTTCGTTTGCTTAGAGTACAAGTTAGTTTTATAATTCATCTAGAAGAAAGGGAGCAAGCAGAATGGGTTGTAGTATTTACCTTTTCAGTCGTTCGCACTAGAGCTTTTATTACTGAGATAAATGAATTGAATTCAACGACTGGCTGTGCGTTAGATAACGTAACATTTCTGATAAGAGTTGAGACATGACGGTGTAGTCAACTTTTTTTGTTTGGTTTACTTTTTTTTCTTTCTAGATATCTGAAGTAAAATATATTTAAATCAACTTGACTCTCATCAGCATTCACACAGCTATGGCTTTTTTCCTGCTTCGTATTCCTTTTCTTCTTCTTGAGTTACTTTCCCTTATTCCAACTGCTTATACAGCATGCATCCCAAGTGGTGATGAAACTACTATTAATAATCTACTCTCTAGCGGAGGTGCCAATACTATAGTATCTCTCTGTGCCAACGGTGTGTTCAATCTGAAAAATCCAATTGTTTTTACAGCACCTAATCAAGAATTATCTACACAAGAATATCCTACAAGCTCTACACGTGCGACTCTCATTGTGACTGGTGTTAATCAGACTGCTGCAATTATAGGTAATTGCAATCAATGTTCTGGTTTGAAACTTCGTAATATCCAAGTTAATGGCAATAGACCAGCTCTCGGTTTATTTGGTGGTAGCGCGAATATTGAGATTGGAGGTCCTACCAGTAATCAACTTGTAGATCATGTACATTCCTACGAACCTCGAGGATGGTCATGTCTGCACATCACTGAAAGTGGAACAAGCGGATGTAGGAATGCAACTGTCACTAACAATGATATTGGTCCTTCCGGCAACTCTACTGGTCAGTGGGCAGATGGTATATCCATGGCATGCACAGGGAGCTTAGTTGCAAATAATGTAATTACAGATGCCACAGATGGTGCTATTGTGATTTTTGGTGCTCCTTTTACTACAATCAGAAACAATACCATCATTGCTATATCTCGTGTGCTTCTGGGTGCCATCAACATGGTGGATTATGCTCCGTATTCAGGAGATTATAATGGTGTCACAGTTGAGAACAATACTATTTGGGCTAAATCAGCATTCATAAAAACAGGCATCGCTATTGGTCCAGCTGTGTGGGGAGGAGATACAACAAACTATAACCGTAACGGTATAGTTCGTGGCAACACAGTTAAGGGCGATAATATGGGTTATGGTATTATTGTCTCTGGTGCGCATAATTTTACTGTCTTAGACAATATGTCCATCGCGAAGTACAGTGGTGCTTTCACTTCGAGCTGTTACACACCCAATAATGCACCTCCAATGGCATTTCTGAAGAGTACTAGAGCTGATGGGAATATCCAATCAAACTTTGTCTTAGGCAGAGCCCAGTACATCATCTGTATACAGCCAGGTCTCTCTAACGCTTACACCTATCAGTCGGGACAGTTGAACTTATATTCCAATGAACAAATCAATTTACAAAATGCTACTTTCATCCTTCAAAATGACGGCAATTTAGTTCTCTACAAAGCGAGTTCTGCGATGTGGGCATCGAATACTTGCTGTACTGACTGCAGCAATAAACAATGCAGACTCACCTTCAACAGTGAAGGTCAGTTAGTTATATACAAGCAAACAGAAATATTAACTTTATGGCCGCCTGCTTATAACGGCACCTTGGGCTCTAGTTCCATCCGTTTCTCTAATACGAGCCCTTATTTGACCTTCACTGATGGGAACGACAATTATGTATGGGCCTCTTCCTACGACTTCTATCCTTCCTTTCGTCTCGATAATGGCAATTTTGTCCGCCAAATACCAAGCACCACTCCTATTTATCTTACTTTGTTGAATAATGGAAATCTTGCTATATACAGTGAAGCCATTAGCACAGGAACATTGTTATGGAGTACTTCTCTCAGTGGGAAGACCTGCAACAATGGTTGTTTTCTCGCATTTCAAGCAGATGGAAATGTTGTAATTTACGGTGATCAAGGAGCTCTATGGGCAACAGGCACAAATCCTTCGGGTGCAAAGTTATTGTTCAACACAGTCTCTCCTTATTTGCAAGTTTACAATTCTATTGGCGCTGTTATTTGGCACTCATGATCACACTGTAACATTGTTGGAATTAAAACTATTTATTTTAAAGATATTTATTCTGCTTTTTCCCTGTAGATACGGTCACTTTTTTTTGTTCGTTTTAATGTGAAAGTTTTCAGTGCAATCTCTTCAAGATTAAAATGTGAAACATGATTGAGCAGTTTTAAATAGACATGAAAATGCTTCTTTTTTTTTGCAACAACACGCGACGATGTCAAGGAAGAATAACCATCAATTGTGGGGTGGGTGTGTGCCTTCATCTAATCAACATCTACATACACTTACACCCGCACCTCACGTCCATACCCTCAGTCCTACGTCACTTCCATTAATTCGACTACGTAATCTACATAGACAATCGTCACGAATATTTGGAGGCATTGATTTACACGCCTCTCTCTGTCTTGCACGTATCGAAGTGACGTATAGAGAAAATGTGAAGAAGATGGGTTTGGATCGATACAGCATCGTCAACGTATTTTGAGTTCATTCAAAAAGTTTAATCAGGCCGATCTGAGAATGACTTTAGTACGTGAAGATATATCATGTATCTTGAGAATGTGAGTGTGGATAGATAAAAAGAAGATTAACGCATACACTTTCACCCACACTCTCAAGAATCAAGCTTCTTATATGTTCAACCACTGAATGTCATCTTTGCGTAATGTTGAATAGTTGATATAGAATATGAGTATTATATTTATCATTCAATCACACCCGTAAAATCTTCCATTTTGATTTCAAGACGACTCGCATTGTAGCTCGTTTCTAAATATTGTCGATTAAAACTGGTATGCTTTCTATTATGCAACATGTGCCAGAGGCTTGAATTTTATTCGAGTTCAATACTAGTCACTGGTGGAGCATTAGAAGGACCAATCTGATTGTTATGAGGATGAAACCGTTGTTTCCATTGTTGCCAATACTTTTTTATTAACACATATCTCACTTGTCGACGATATTGTGAAGATGATAGCCAGAATATATAAAAATTTACCTAGAAAAAGGAATATTTTATTAGTAATTATAAAACACATACAATTTTACCGCATAATTAAGATATAAAACTGAATTTATGATTGCTTGAACGAGTCTTTCAACAGCTATTCGCATAGAATCTGTCGGATTGATGATAATATTAATTGAATAGACACGATAAATGACAAAAGGTGTATTAAAAATAATCAGAAAACTAACACGTAGAAGAACAAGTTTAGTTAATTGTCGATCTAGACGACGACGAACAATAGGTACTTGTCGTCGAATAATGCGACGAACATTACGGCAAGCTAAAATACTAAAAGAACCAGCAACCACTATTGGTAAGAGACCGCTTAGTATTGGATAGAAAAAATACGAATAATATCGGATTAATATGGGATACGAAGCGGCACAATCACCTGGTGGCTTGGCATCAAAAAAGACTCCGAATGCGACTGAATGACAAAGTGAAAAACATATTCCTACAATGACTAAATTTCGAGCCAATTTCAGTGAACTTTTGTATCTCAAATATACTGAATAACTTGTTGCAAGAAATTGATCAAATGCAGTGAAACATATTGTAGAAAATAAAACTAATACAAATGTTTGTCCTATTATGATTCGTATTTTACACCATATAGGAGAAGAATACCATATATTAAACCCATATCGAACAGTTAACAGACGAAGAATGAAATTATATATCAATAAAGCGATATTCACAATCGATTCAACCATTAAATAGAATACGCATTGATTATTTCGAAATATTTTAATCTTTGTAAATATAAGTATAACCAAGGAATTACCGATTAATCCCATAATAACAATAATAATAATAGTAGAGAGAGTATATTGTTGAGTAAACATCGAAATTGTTGATGGAGATGTCATATTTTAATGCTTAGTTCTGATATTTCTTTGCATTTATTAATGAAATAGAAACAGAAATAAGTAATTGAATGTCATCATTGAAAATGCATCGTGCCGTGCGTGTTCTTCCTGCAGATGGTAAAAATTTATCTAATTTTTGTCTATTAGATGTCGAATTAAAGTAATTGAGACAATTATGACATTTTGAATTAGAACTTTTTTCGTTCAAATGCAAACAAAATCTAATCATTTTTGTATATCGTGTAATATTCCTAACCTTATTCGTACTGAGAATGGTTGAGAATTCTTCTTTCTCTCATCCTCATCCATTCTAAAACTTCATTAATTCTTACAGAGAAAGTAGTGTACTCTGAAAACATGATGTATTATGTATTTCTTTGTTCCGTAAATGACATATTCTGGTAGAAACAAGAGTAAACAAGTATATTAATACTTGTAGCATGTAGTGCGTGATTCAGTGAATAGATAAGATCTTGATCATTATTTTTCCAATTAATATATATCTCTCCTCAGTTATTTATTTTTTGAAAAATAAACTCAACGTTGTTAACGCCATCATTAACATCTATTTCTAATTCGTCTTTACCAAACTGTGAATCATCGTGTCATTTTCGGTAAATATGTTGTTGGTCGACATACATTTCGTCGACACACGAGTTCATATTAGAGCATATTTCAATTTTTGTCCCGACGATGAGAAAATGACAAGAATAACTTTGTTATCTTTTGACAAAAATTTTTCGATCAAATGTCCTGTCGACGAAGTGCATTTCTACAAAAAATCTTCGAAGAAGTTATGTCGACGAAAATATTGATGTCTTTTAACTTGATTTTTGGGTGAGAGAGTATGGGAGCGAAAATCTTCCCTCAGTGCTCGTCGTCACCTTCACAAATACTCACACCTTAAAGTTTCGAGAAGGTACAGCCGATCAGGGTGTCAAATGTTCGTCTTTTTTATGAGTCGAAATAATTATGAGTTTATGCCGAAACATATTCAGCTATGCGTCATTGACACAGCATTGTTACTTTTTCTTGTTATTCAACTCATATAAGAAGATCTCATGGATTTTCAATGAATATTTTCTAGAAGTTAGAAGCAATAAGAGCTCATAATCATGTAAATAACAAGGAGTGTATACACTTCTAATCAATATTTGAAGCATATGGATTTGGGTATGGATTTTCTGTTCATTTATACTTACACCCACACCCATAACTATCTTTTAATATTAATGTTTTTGAATCTGATGCTATCGATCTAGTTAAATGTGTGAAATGATAATTTAAATGCCCAGGTGAATACAATACTTGAACTAAATCATTATAGTCAAATAACTCGTGAAGAAATCCATTGAGTAAATCTTCAATACATGTTATCTTGTTTGTGAACTATGTCATTGTTTATCGTAGCTCAAAAGCTAAAGAATCTATACAATACTTCTTTTTTTTTTGAAACCTATATTTCGTCATAATAGTATGTTAGCAATAGTGTAAATGTTAGGATTAACGAATAAAAGTTTCTTATTTCTTTATCAACAAATGATTTCTCATGCTTTTTCTTTTTACTATTTCAAGACTAAACGAACAGATAAGACAAAAAAAAAGGAAAAAGCTACTTAAAGATGTCATAAACAAAAAAGTGACCTTTCGCATATGATCATTCTCTTCTGTACTGCGCCGCAACTGTGTAGGTGTGTCACAAAGTTCATAGTATAATCTTGTTTCTTTCTGCTGGCGCACAGCTCAGCATCAAATAGTGAAATCATTTCAACTATCACTGAAGCCTTATCAGATGAAAGGTTACTAATCCGTTTAAATTTTCAAACAGTTGAGCTTCAGACAAGCTTTCCTTAATTTACAGAGTTTTACTTTGACAACTGAGCATCTATTACCCATTTTAAAATACAAAAAAAAAAGGGTAGGTTGAGTGTGAATATGAGTCTATTCTCTTTCTTTCTTGCACATACACACTCAAAATATACAAAATATATTTAAATATATAAATAATTATCATCGGTTATGATCTATGTCATTGAATTCGACAAAAATACATTATTTATCTATTTACTATTGCTACTAATATTCTTTTTTGAAATCAAATATGTGAATTCATCTGTTGAATTATTTTGATGTTTGTAAAAACGTTTTAGAAAGCTTTTGAAAATTTCCAATTGTCATGTTTTATCTCAATATTTAGCTTGTATTGAGCACATTTGCATGAAATATATACATTCGATTTATGACGAAATAAATAAGTGAACAATGTTCATGCCATATTCCTATGTACATTCATTTGCATTCATACAAAAGAGAAAGTCGATCATTCTATTTACGCGATAAAACGGAGGACGAAAAACTTTTATTGAAGATTATTCATGACTTTAAAGGTCATGCAGTAATATCAATACTACTTTATGTGTTATCAATTGCACTCTTTCTTTTCTTACAACATGTGACAAACACAAGAAAAAGAAAATTACAAAGCAGTATGTCTATTCTCACATTTGCAGCATTTCTTCTAGTAGCAATTGTCGAAACTACTCGTGGTTCATGCAAATATAACGGTAAGCCTATTATGGATCGTTGTTTCATTTAAGATATAAAAATACTTCTAGGAATTCCATGCGGATCCACTGATTCTTTCACGTGGTGTTGTCCAAGTAAGTTCGAAATTTTATTATATTAATTTGAAAATTTTGATTTGACAGAAGTGAAAACTTGTGGCAGCTCATTTGGGACGTGTGTGAATCGTCCATTTCCTGCATGGGTCATCACTCTTATAATTATCTCGAGTCCCATATTGATCATTATTTGTTGTATCATTTGTACTATCATAAACACCAAGAATTCACGTCGAGTATCTAATATATCAACGGATGTTGAACCTTTTACAATTACTCAGTCTCGAACATTATTTCGAGATCGATCCCCACCACCATTTATGGAAGATTCGCCACCCAGCTATGAGATGGCAATGGCTAGTAGTTTACAAAAGCCAAATATGCAACGTACTGATATACTCGATGAATCAAACAATTCATTTCATTCACATCATAATAATCGAAATGTTTGAAAATAATTTATTTTTCTTTTATTTCTTGTAAAAAGACAAGCGTACATGGCATGATCAAAACGATTTTTGATTGTTACATGTTGAAGAAAAAAAAGAAGATGTAAAATATTTTCTCCGTTCATAACCAGTGACACAAATTAATAATATTCGTACATAGCGATCTAAGTTAACATTGATTAAAATTTTCTGACAATAATCTTCTACTTCTTTATTCTGAACAAAATCGAGTATTTAGTTAATCAAAACATCAATTTTTATTCTTCTCGAAAACAGTTGAAAAATGCTTTTCATTGGATTCTAGTGGAAAGTGCATCATTTGATGCTGATGAATATCTGATTGCTTTGAATGTTTTTGCTTTCATCCTGATCCAAACTGTGATTTTCGGAAAAAAAGATGAAGTTCCGTAACAGCAAGTGTTTTCTGAAAAGCTCAGTTCCAGCTAAAGAAAGATCAATGAAATGTTTACTGGTAGTACATCTAAGTAATATTTATCTGTAATAAAAGTTTCAAGAAATTTGCTTTTGCCATTAACGAAAAAATACAGTTCTGTAAAAAATTGTAGAATCACAAGAACGAAAATGTGCCACTTTTTCTGGTTCAATGATTTTCTTTGATTTCTTCATTGTTGGATTATTATCAACATTATTTGTAATAATAGACTCATTTGATGTTATAGAAGATATACATTCATCAAGAATAATATCATTAGAATTTATGGATGAATTCATGTTTAATTGTTTTACACAAATTAATAAATTATTCTTTACTAAATTGATTTTTTTGCTGAAGTAGATCGTTATTTTTCAGTAATTTATATGCATCCAAAAGGAAATGAGATAGATATACTTTAAGAAAGACATTTTAGATTTCTTATTTTTGTACCAGACATATTATGACAGTTCAAGAAGGTATCTCGAAACAATTCATAATTTGATGATTTATTAAAGGAAATTTTTCATCAGATACAAAATTATCTGTTTGGTATTGTTTATTTATTTTAAATCTGTTAGCATTCTCTATCTTCTACTATCATTGTTTTTTCAGCACCGTCATCAGCGTGTCTCAAAGCTTTGACATTCGCGTCTGATATCAAACGTGATTTTTTTCAAATCCTTTGCTTTAGTGATTATGTGATTTCCGAGCGACTCCACGTAAGTGTCAATAAATCAGCAACATTAGTGCAAAAAGTCTGTGAATAAAATCGGCAAAAATCCTCCAGGTAGCATGAGACGGGGCGGGTGGAGTGTAGGAGGGTCTGGATGCTGGCTGCGAGTAAAAGAAGATCACTACTTACATATACACTTTGCTCGCTCTCAACAAGGCAATTGCTGGAAATTGAGAAAGTTTGTTTAACTAGACAATCAATCCGAAAAACATATCAAACTTAAGGAAAACCATTGAGTTCAATTAAAATCCTATTTAACTTTCCACAAGTTTGTGTCTATTATCTGACGCATCTATAGATGAAAATGTATAAATATGACTAGAATATTATTGAAGGGTGTGTATTTAGAATACAGCTAATGTTTTCTAAACAGAGAAAGATCTTCTCGGATAAATTCATCAAATAACAAAAACTAAAAAAAACTACTGCATATGGTTCAAGCAATGATTTGCTGCACCAAAAGTCACATTGACATCTTAACATTGAAAACGAATGGTGACAGTGATGTCTCAGAAACAGTACATGGTACTGATTTAAATGTTGTTCGATAAATAAAATCTGTGAATGCAAAATAATATCAGCATTTACTACGGTTTCGAATGAACAAATTGATTAAGTTTCAATCATATGATATTGACGTCAGCACATCATTAAATACCCGTCATTTTTGAATGATTGAACTAACAACTGAGTAAAACGATTCAAATTAATCTACTATATTTTTCAAGAAACATAGACTAAATACCAACCTGAAACATAATCACCTAACTAAAGAACTTGAGAGAATCTCTTGAACGAATAACTCATGTTTAGCTAATATATTGATTCAATGTCACGATGAAAGATTAAAAGGAACTAGAAAATTTGACTACGAAACAAACATATGTTGGATATTTTTAGTGCCGAGTGCGCAGTGCTTCATAGTTTTAAAATCAAAATTTCATTTATGGTCAGTAATATATAGAAGGAACGAGAAGAGCATCAAGTCTCGCTATCAACACTTTTTTTATGAAAAAATTTTCAACATTCTTCATAGACTTTGGAAATGTTCTACTGTAATTTTGATGACTATATAATGTGCCATATTCGATGAAATATTAATTAGAAGAACGGTATCCCTTTCTGAATTAATCGTTGATACGTTGTTTCCGGTTGAATATTCAAATCATTTTTTAGATGTAAGAAGATAGTTGACACTAATGAAGACATGTTGTAGTATTTATCGCATCGAAAACATTTATCCTTCGTAGTCAATTATTTAAAAACGAAGTTGTTGATCATGATTTTGATTTATTCGAGCAGCCTTTGAAAGAAAAAACCTTATTCAAGTCACCAGAAATGCATGAAGAGAATTTCGCCATTTGTTATTGAGATGGTTAATATTCGAGAAAAAAATAAATGATAGTTACGTATTGTTTGAATAGCTGTTTGCCGAATGAATAATTGGTCTTTTCTTACGTCATAAAGCAAGTCCAGTGCGAACTTATATCGAAACCCATCATAGCTATTAATCAACCGCTTAATTTGCTCGCTATTCGATTTAGGATGAATTTTTGAGCTTGTACTTTATATCGTTACTTCCGTTTCTTTCCTTATCTCCGATTACTTTTCCTTCTAACGGAAGTTCTTAAACAATGAATGAAAAATGCAAAGTTTATCATAATGTGACTGCCGAGTAGAATTTTTCATTTTCTTCACTAGAAAATTGTAAGCGACAACGGAAAAAATTCTCGCATTTTTCCTGAAATTTCAATATATTATCGTTCCATTGTCATCAATTATTCAAGCAACTGTCGTTCTCTTCTGTCTAGACAAGTTTTCAGAATTTTTTTTCATCATATTACTGCCTAGTAGGTTTTAGTTTTAATATTCAGCAATGTTTTATAAAGATGTCGTAAGATGTTGGCTTCGCTCGTTCGCATAGCATACATCTCATTCATTGGTCAGTCAACTAATGTAGTAATATGAGACAATAGATTGATTTATTGATCTGTTTTTCTTCTTCAAATACCTATTTCGATCGTACTTTTATATTGTTATGTTGATTGTATTTTGTTGCGAATTATGATAATTTTCTATAGAGATTCTACAAATAATACCGTCGATCAGTCGTAAGATGACAGTCAAAGTTCGCAGAAAAAAGAAAACATTTCAGAATAATAATTAATTCTTTCACCTAATACTTACTAATAATCTATCGTTTATTTCTCTTCTGTATAGTTTGTTTTTTTTACAGATATTTTTACGAAAATGTTATCATCACTTTCAAAATTCGTTACTTATCCTCGATTATCATTGTCTCTAGTAAAACAACAATATTTATTTGCATCATCGAAAGCTGATTCCACATCGCCAAAAACAGGCGATACACGTGAATCTGGCACAAAAGATATACATAAACCAACAATTGATGCATCTCATCAATCGGGTAAAAAAAGTAAACAAGAACGTATTGCATGGGAAAAAGAAGAACAAGGTGTTTCATCTGATATACAAACACGTCAAATACGAATACCTCCTGATGAAAAACGGGACGTAAAAACAAAAACATCGAAGAAATAGACAAAACAAGTCGTTTTAATGGTGTACATATTTTTTTAAAAATTTATTCCAGCTAATTTCATTTCCTTTTTATTGCTATTTTGAAATAAACAATTTTTGTATATGGATACATGAAAGCAATGTTAAGGTTGAATTCTACAGAACAATATAAGAGATAGGATTCGGAAGAAAAACTGTGTTTGTTGAATTATCTTTTTTTTTCTCAAAATTAGTTTTCTATTTTGATTTGTTTATCGAGAGAAAATTTTGTCTTGTACTATGAAAATGGCTGAAATAAGAAGGATGAATCATTGCAGTAATAACATACTACTTATATTACAATTTTATCTACAATAGTTAAATATATGGTTTGATTTATTAGCATCGTAGAACAAACTCACATGATCTTTGTATCTATGAAGTAGTATTATATCATTTGTAATCATTCAAAGAAGAATCACTTCTGACTATATATCAAGTTTGATTATTCGTTATTTTTTTTTTTGATTTGATTGTTACCTTTTTTCATTGTATTCAGTCTTTTTTTGATTAACTGTTATCTGAAAATTAGTGAATACTATCGTGATATGGTCTCATCCGTGGTCGTGTTCATCTTGACTAATTCTAAGAGGGAAACTAATTCATATTACTAACGAAAAAAAAATGATGGCGAAAACAATATGGCATTTATATTTAGAACAAAATTATCATGTCAAGTCAGATGTGTAGGTTGAGTATTCTTAAATTTTCTACAGAGTACAAATAATCAAATGAGTGATACTTATGAGTTGATTGATCAATGTGATCATTCGCTTCATTTAATCAGATTGATCGATCGAAATGGATAGGTGTTTTCTCTTATTTGATCATCTAGACCGGAACTTGAAAAAATCACTACCAAATACAACACTTCAAAGTGCCTAATGACATTGAATAGTGTCTTTTTAATACGATCAAGTGAAACTGATTGTTTTTCTCAACGAAAAACACCTCCAAAATAGTTGATGTTTGTGTCAAACCAGAAGATATCATCACGAATGAGACTTTTATGTACGAATATTTTTTCAACAATTCACTTCTGTTAGACCGATTATTGTCTTTCTGATTACAAATAAATCAGAAACGATTTCTTTAGTTGTTTGTGTTTCAGTTCATCTCCCAACATTCTTATGTTGAGCTGTATGATGAAAACAGATACTAAATAGTTCTCGCATTCAATGGATTCTGTATTTGTATTTACTCTTGTGACAGTTATTGTTTTGGTGTACAACAAAAGCTAGAAAGACTAGCTAGATATTACACAATGGTTAATCCATCGAGGTTCCCATTGTCCTATAACTTTGAAGAATTGTCATAAGTAATTGAGAGTTTCATTACATTGAAAGCTTGAATCGCCTCCTAACTTTCTCTATACATGGGCAGGTTCTGTTTTATCTTTCTCACAAAAAATTGAAAATAGAAGATATATTATGATGATTCTGTATTTCGTCATTCATTTCATATGATCCACTATTCTATCATGTCGAATTTAGTAAATTCAGTTCGTTCAAAAAACCTCGTCTGCTATGGTACAGTTTTCACAATTGTTACTGCCACTATGACGAAGTACGAAACTCTATTTCGCATAACACTCGGTAGATATATTGGTAAATTAGATGCCTCTGATTTCATACAACGTAGATGTGGATGCAACTTCTCTTCACCCACATCCACAAATGTACAATTGTTTCTAATAGACTTTCAATTCGCGTCGTCGTTTATCTTGATGGTGTTTACTCATGCGCAGTACGGATGGGTGAGTGTATACATGGGTGTGAAGAGAAGATCCATATCCACATTCGCACCCACACTCATCGTTCCGTTGAGTCCAGTTCGAACATAGTCAATAAAGACTTTAAGATTATTTTTTTTATATCAATGAAAGAATGATAATGTATTAAAGAAATGTAGAGTACTATTAGTGCTTCAAGTGTATATGAAAAGATGTTTGTCTAATGTTTGACATACAGAAATGTAGTGCTATCGTCGCGACTTTTGGTATATACGAGTTTTTGACCGTTTAAAACACGCTTTAGTCATTTGAGATTGTTATTGTGTCCTGGTGTTTTTATATAAATAAAACTGAGAAGTCATTCCAAAGTGGACACATACGATGGAACAATGTTAATATGCACTAAGTGTATACCCTTCTTATCATTATATTCTACATTGATCACTTGAAATCGCACTCCTGGTTGTAACAGAATCTCATTTTCTTCAGTAAAAGAACTCATTGTCGACAGGTCTGCAAATTGATCATTCGATGAGTAACATTGTAATTCAATAATGTACAAAGCATTTTGTACAAAATCTTCAGCGATGTCTTGATCACGTGAAGTGGAAACAAAAGAGAGCCATTTAAAATATTTAGAATTGCCTCCAATTGCCTGTTGATATTCTTGTAGTATTTCTGGAGAGACATAACCACCACGAAAGACAGTAACCGATTGAGATCTGGTCGGATGAAGAACTTGTCGAAAACGACGACGAGTTGAAAAATCATCATGGAGGTGTCTACCGATATAGTTGAAAAGGAGATAGCAGTAAGACCCAAGAGTATGCAATTTAGTGTGATCATTATCGCACAATGCAGTGTTGACTGTACGAAAGATAAAATATGGTTTTGTATAAAGTTTAGCACAGCAATTTTCGAGTTCTTTCATTCTCTTCTTCTCATTCTTCTGGAGAACTTCATCTCTAGTTTTATTCAAAGTATCCACGATATCACATAGCCTATGTTCTGATGCCATTTGTCCTTCCTCTCGTAAGCCTTGTACAAGGACAGGAAAAATAGAATTGAACTTAACTTTTCGTTTTCCGTTCGTAAATGCCAGAAACCATGCTTCAATAAATAGTGAACCATAATAGTTTGTATCCGCACTTACATTACAATTTGAAACTAATCCCAAAGGAGATGAGAATCGTTCACAACGTCGAGATTCATCTTCGATTGATGATTTATGGAGACATCGTCGTCGTCGTCGAATCGATTGTTTACAATTTCGATCATCAATATGTTCTTGTACGAAGCACTTTAAATCAATACGATAAATTCCATTAATAACTATCTCTTCGATGCCTTGTCGAAAGGCTTTTTCAATGGTTGATGATGCAGCATCAGAAAAAGGAGTCCATTTATCATTCATCTGATATACCCAAATAAATTCATCCTGAGCTGATGCTTCCGGAATTTGACGTACTGAAATCAATTTTACCGGCGATGTCATGTTTGACAAGTACGTAGACAGTGTGAGATCAGTATTGGAATTTCTATGTCAATCGTTTCAAGAAGAGATAGTGAATTTGAATTTTTCTGATAATGGTTAATCGTATCCACTGAGTTTATGTTCACACTTTCTGAAAATAGAGAATTCAAAAAAAAGGAATTTATTAGAAATCTCTCTTTCAGCTAAAATAACATTGTTTAAAATGATGAGAAACACTAGCGTATATGATCGAAGATCAAAGGTTACTTCTCTGTACAGGTCAGCAACTGAATAGAATATGAATACATTTTTAAATCGACAAAAATCATGAAATCATGAGGATGACTTGATAGAAAACAAGATACTTGCGAAGAACAACAAATACCAGAAAGTTTACGAAAAATAAAAATAAAAACTTGTTTTCTGGTTTATATAAAATAAAAATGCGAAGTTCTCATGATCTGATTAAAACTACTCAATGAGTCTTTGTTTAAAATAATAAAGAAATCTTTCTTGAGTATATCCATCTGACACATATTACGTTTACACTGGAGTTTGGTGCTCGCAAGAAGTTCTGCTGTAATTCGGATAACATTCTCCATCACGATTTGTCATCAGAAAAGTGTTTCTTCATACTATTCTTAAATTAGCTATACCTTCTTAGATTTCATATATATTGATATAAATCTGAAGTTCATAATTGAGTGTTTCATTCTTGGCAACATCAAATTTGCTATATGTGTCTATGTGAGGAAAATCACTTTGCAAAAGAGAGTCGTTTTTCTCTTGTAATGTTGATTTAATTTTGCAAATAGACAACTTTAACCGATCATTTTTGGACATCACACAAACGTCTAGATGTGCTTTCTTTTTCAAAACTATGTATTCAATGAAACAAATTATTTCTAAGTATGTTATTTCAACCAGATTTACCATCCATGTTTGCCACAAATCAATACTAGAAAAGAAACAATGACTTCTTTTTGCAAAATGATTATTTCGACGCAGACACATATAGCAAAGACGATGTCGCCAGGAATGAAGCGTTCAACTATTTGCTTCAGATTTTTATCAATATATATCAAATCTTAGAAGGAATAAGATAATTCTTCGGAAACCATATCACAATTATATCGACTATATCCGAATCGTTTTCAACTTCTTGGGTTTGTAGAACTTGGTGTTGTGAATCCAAAAATGACCTTAATCAAGTTTTCAAACGTCGGTCTAATAGATTCCAGGCTATTCTCAACGAGCGAACATTTTGTTTAGTGCGCTGCTCTACCTTGTTCTTTCGTTTTTCAAGATAAAAAAAAATACTGAAAAAGGTTTTATCTCTTTGCAAAAGTTTGTTGCTGTAAGACATACGATATCGTGAAGACGAACTTATAGTAGCTGCAATTGTTCGTTATTCTTCCACTGACTTCTATATTTTGCTTCATCTAATTCGATTGTGGATCGTCAACATATATTAACATTAAGTTTTGTGACTATCAATAAGGGTGTGGACGTGGATATATGGGTACAAGTCTAGTGTATAATCACGTCATCGTATAATAAAATACATCAGTTTGCTAGTTGAAAACATTCTATATGTACACTATACGAAGAAACGGAAAAATATTCGATGGTTACGTCATATTTTTAATATTAAATAATGCTAAAAAATATAATTGTACAATTTCAATATTATCTATCATAAATTCTGACATTGTCTATTACAAATTTTCGCTGTTGTTAAATTTTCTATATGTTATTCTAAAGAAGTTGCTCATACACTTATGTTATTCACTAAAACATCAGCTTTTGTTGTGCCATGTGTGTAGAAAAGTGTATTTATCTTTTCATAATCAAACATGACTCACGTTACTATCATCTGTATAATTTGTTTTCTACGATAGAAGATATGTAGAACAAGTTCATAAAATATAGGACACTTACGAACTGAAGTCGTATAGAAATTCATTTTGATTGCTAAACAAAAACATGACGATTGATCTCGAGAACAATGGATTATTTTTTTTGTCTAAAGATGTATCGTGATATTCTTTACAGGAACGTGTAAATTCAAATGTCAGCATGGAAAATTTATCGAAAAAAAAAACTCAAGCTTCTACATGTCTAATCTCAGACACAGTACCTTTCTCTTATTTACGGATTCTGGTATCACAATTCTAGCTTTCCACAAGGTTTTGAGATTATTGAGTAGTATTATAAAGACAAATGAATGATGTGTGACATTCAAAATTCAGACTGAAATTAGCAAAATAAGTTGAATTTTGACTATTTTCAATCCGCTATCAAGAAATTATTTATTAAATCTTAAAAGTTACTTTCCCTCTACATCATGAAAAAGAGCAAATTTGATTGTACAAAAAACTTGTTTCAAGAAATAGTCTACGATATGTAATGTGTATTGTTCGAAGAAAAGTTTTTATAAAGTCGAAGTCTGACGATATTATATGATCGGTTTTCATACTGACATCCGAAATAAAATCTTCTTGTAGGGATTTTCACGGCAAATAATTAAGAAAAAAAAAAGATCGAGATTGTATCAAGAACAAGTGGAAATGAAAAGCTATACTTACTTTTTATTATATCACTCGATTAATTCATTTGCATATATGGCGTCGTTGAATTGTAGAAATGAAGCTGTCCTCTTTTTATGATAATGAGGAAACGAAAAAAACTTCATGCTTCTCGAGTCGTATAAATACTGTGTGCCACATGTCTAGAACAGCAATAGCGATCAAACGGCAGTAGTATTTTTTTCTTAAGTGATGTTGGATTTTACCTGTGTCACAGATTCGAGTTAAAGCAGAGAACAGCGCAGTTGGTTAGCCTTTTACCCTCGAAAAAATTATTTTTTCATTCCTTCCTAGAAACTATATCGTGAAGTTACAAATCATTAAATCAAGAAAACTTTAAAAAGCTTATCGAACGTTGTATAGAGAATAAAACAAGCTATAAGTTCGTAAAAAAATTTAATTCTTTATTTCCACTCCTCAACTAAGATATTTGAGTCCGAATATAGTTTCTATGCATGGGTCAAAAATAACCCAACGAAAGGTAAAGAGTTAACCGTTCTATGATGCCTTATTATATGCGCAAATCATCGAGCAATTTTGATATGTCACTTTGTTAGAAGAGAGAATTTTTAATATTCGTTTCATGTTGGACAGGTATTTATTATTCAAAGAAATTTAAAGACGAATTTATAGTGAATTAGCTGAGAATATATTTCATTTTGATGTATGTTCATTTCGGTAGATATAAAATATTTCCATGTCACAACATGTAGCGGATGTTGGGATGCTAAAAAAAATGAGAGAACAACATTTGAAATTAATAAAATCAAATATAAACTTACTAGATCGCCGGGTTCTTCAATAGTTGCCTCACGTTGACGCTTCTCTGGTGATAAATTTATTCGTCGATGATTTTCTCTCATAAGGCAAATGCGTAAAATAATGGTAAGAATCAAACTGATAATCGTCATTACATTGCAGATCACATGACCATATCGATAAACCGGTTTATCAACTTCTCTATAGATCTAAGAACAAAATTGTTGTTATTAATACTATATTAAAATCACTATCATGCAATAAATCGACTTTAGAGATTCTTCTATAATTTATCACACACAATAGTCTTACCAAAGGCGTGCAAATGCCACCAATATGAGCAATGTTGACTACGAAACTAATTACCATTGCTCTCTTTGTATGACCACCGACGTTTTTTGTTAACCAAGAGAGTAGTAAAGAATATGCAGAAAATATACCGCAAAGAGCAACAGTAGCGCTGACATAGATTGCCACTTGATCTTGATGGAACAGGGTAAACATTAGGACAAATCCGAGTAAACCAACTGATAGACAACACGTGATATGATAGCCATGTTCATTTTAACGTAACGATGAATAGTTCGACAGCAAATACATGCGAGAACATAAGGTGGTGCTGTCATTAAATATGCTTCGATTTTGTAGTCAACCATGCTTTGTACCAGTATCGGAAGAAATGTTGTCATGTATATGATTACGCTTAAATTGCCAACAGAAATCAGACCATATAAATAAATTTGCCCATCGACAAAAACATAACGAATTTGTCGCCATGAAAGTTGGATAATTGGTGTAGAAGCATGGTTGTCTACACCAGCATCCTTTAGAAGGTGATTTATCAATAGCTGCTTCTCCATACTATTCAACCCTAAATTTTCAAAAACAATTTTGAATATATTCGATTCTCCTTTAAACTCTTATACTGGACAGCATTGGGCACATTATCAAGGAAAAAATAGGTAATAATCCCGAGCGGAATGAACGGTAAACTTTCGAGCAAAAATATCCACTGTCAATTTGTCAGGTTACCGATATCTTTCATTTTTTCCATACCATAAGCCTAGACTAACGACAATAGTAGATTCTGTAAGCTCAAAATAGATGGTCTCTGATAACATCGGTGAGTACGTACCAGAAAAGCAGCGGGAGCATAGGAAGCAATTACTGCAGCATAGAGAATAGCTATTCTCATGGTTTGCTGTCTTTTACCGTACCAACGAGAGAAGTAAATGATGACAATAGGAAAATAACCTGCTTCTGCCATTCCCTTCAATGATAATTCGCAAAAATTGTATTCTTAGTAAAGACTCCCCAAATTAACTTACGAGGAGAAAGCAAACAATGATTAATTGTCGACCATTAATTACAAAAGTCATACCTATCATGATGCAGCCCCATGCAAACATACTCAATGTCAAATAAAAAGTCCGATCGCAAAAGCGAAGAAGAAGATTACTCGGAGTATCGAAGAGAAGCTAAAACAAAAAGTCACATTGTGGAACATATTGAAATCCATAATATCATTTTCTTACATGAGCAACATAAAACAGTGAAACCGTCAAATTACTTTCTGTATCTGACATATTTAGATCAGTTTGGCATGACCTAGCAGAATGCCATTAATAAAGAATGATTCAAGTCAACAACGCATACCAAGGCTCATTCGATTGA